TATATTTATAAATATATCTATTTAACATATATTGATAGTGGAGATAGATGATAGAGCTGGTGATAGATAGATAGATAGATAGATAGATAGATAGATAGATAGATAGATAGATAGATGATAGAGACACATATTTTCATGCAATGTTATACAATTAAACTGCATATTTTAAAAGACCATTTTTCCAGAGTGGATAGACTGTCCACCCAACTTGGATGGGCAGAGGCCACTCACTGAGGGTTCCCCCCTATTACAAAGTGCCATGGGGAGGGGGTACACCTCTGGGCATTCTTGGTGGCAGCTCCCTCCTCCCGGAAGAGTTGCCAGTTGCGCTCTGGCCTCCTGGAAGGTGGGCTCCGAGACCCCCAACCGGAGCCATTGCGGGCTTTAAAGGTCGCCAGCATGACCTTGACCTGCCCGAGGGCGGCTCCTCCAGCTGCAGGGTGGTGCAGCGGGACTGAGCCTCGTCAGTGAGCCTGCAGGCCGCCGTGTTCTGGACCAACAGAAGTTTCTGGGTAGTCTTCAAGGGCAGCCCCACGTAGAACGCACTACAGTAATCTTACCTCGAGGGCATGAGTGATTGTCCTCAGCACATCCTGTTCCCAGAAAGGCTGCAACTGGGGCCCCACCCTACGCTGGGCAAAGTCCCTCCTGACACAGCTTCCACCCCCTTCTTGAGCAGGAGGACCTCCAAGCCCCAGATGTGCTCATTGGGGGGAACGCAGCCCCATCAAGAGCCAGAGATGGGGCAGTCCCAGAATCAGGAGGCTTCTGAACGAGTAGGTCCTCCTTCTGGCTGGGGTTGAGTCCGAGCCCGTTTCCCCCCCTCCAGCCCGGACAGCCTTCTGGCACCGAGTCAGGGCTTCCCCCCGTCTCCCCCCTAGCCCGGCCCAGGGGCAAATGCACACCTGGGTATCTTCAGCCTCTCGACGGCGCTTCACCCCAATCGGGGGAGAGGCACTTATTTTTCTGTATTATTCTGCACTACTGCATTTTTCATTAGTAGCATCTGTATGCTGCCTACAGTCTGCTGGATTGGGGCAGGAGATAAATTGCACAAATAAATCACATCAATAAATTATGATGTCAATTTACTTAATAATAGGAAAGTTATTGAGAAATTAAGTAGATAATAAACTAGCTTGCAGGCCACATTTCTGAATCTGACCTCCAAGTGGGACCCAGGCAATGAAAAGTTTATTCAAATGCAGACAGATCTTTTGGAATTTTTAAAAGAGCTGCGAGGAGTCTCCTACGTAACCCAGGCAACTAAAGTAAATTCAGATACAAGGAATACTACGATCCATATGTATTTATTCACTGCATTTTTAACCTGCTAGATAGCAAACATTTTCAGGGTAAAAAGCAACTTGTGCATTTATCTCTCCCTTTGAGAAAACAATATACAAAATGTTGTCGCCTAAGGGAAGCAATAGAATAAAATATAACAAAATATGCAGAAATCACCATCCCAACAAACTGACGTTCAACATTAACTTTTGTTTCAGACTAAAATCTTAACGCTCGAGAGGGGAGGGAGGGGGTAGACTCGAACCGAGAAAGCCAAGTTCAAATTCACGCTGATGGAAACTCTCTGGCAGGGTTCAGACATATTCCCCAGACCTAGGTTAACAAACTGCACCTGTTGAGTTCTCATGACGTGCCTGAGCAAGCAAATCCATCTTACTGGGGCTTACTGGTCCTCACAAGAAGATGAACCATAAACAACCCAACTCCATTTCCCTCAAACCTAGCGTGTTGTGTGAATCTCACCACTGCGGGACTTGGGGCCAATTCCTATTTGCCAGCTGAATGTGGTTGTGAGAATACACTTGTGGGATATAACGTGTATTCCCTCCTGGCCTCTGAAGGAAAGTTCAGATGGAAACATAAAGAATAAACTTGTGGGTTTCTCATTTTTGCAAAATTACCACTTTCACTTTTTCTTATTTTCTCGCTTTCCTTTTTGCAAGCTTGGTTCATTGTACCATTTGCCATCTGCTTTTTTTTTTTTTTAAATGAAGATTTGTATTATTTTTGTGCACGCTGCTCCAAATATCCATATTTTCTTAGCAACTGCGTAACGCCTGCAGTTCTGGCTGACCGTTTTCCTTAAGATAAAGGCATTTGTGTAGGCTGTCTTCATGAATAGAAGGTTCTTGGGCAAAGGTGTCCAAACAGACGTTATTTTATATTAGCATTGGCAAACTGCGTCGCAAAGTCCCGAGAAAGACCAGTCTCAAAAGATAAGGGAGCCTCACAAGGTGGATCCGTGTGGAAAACGCGCAAATGCATCAATAGGCATGGCAAGCTGAACTAATTCTCGGCGCAGAAAGCGGGCAGGCCGGGCGATTCAGCCTCCTTAAATCTCTGTCAGTCGGAAGGCGTGCCAGCTCGCTTGCCTCTCCTGCGATGAAATACCGCAGGGGTGTTTCTTGCATTACAGGGTTCGTTAGGCAAAGTAACTGAAACAGAAGGAGTCTTGGGGCAGAGGGCACCGTCGGGTGGCCATGGGTGAAAGACACCGAGGTCTTTACGAAGCAGCATCACGTCGGAGGCCGCCTCCAGGACATTGGGAAGGGGAGTTGTGAAAAAGGGAAGCCCGTCTCTCTCTCTCTCCCCGTGCCCCCTCCTCTTCCTCACACACGCGTGTCCCTCGCGTACATCTTGGAAGTGGCGGTCTGCAAGGACGGCGGATTGTACGGGATGGTCACTGCGGGAGGCAGGTAAACCTTCTGTAAAGCGCCAGGATAGAGGTCGCGCTCCGAGCTCGCGTCTTGGGGCCAGGAGACAAAAGACAAAGACGTGGAGGTTAGCAAACTGGGAATCGTAGACATTGTCACCACCTCCTAGAGTTGAAGGTAATCTGGGGGATGCAGAGCATCCATTGGAAAAGATGCTACAGCGCATGCAGGGAGCCAAACGTAGACTGTCTGCAACTCTTTAAAGCAGCTGCTTCGGTAGCTCTCACATGAACTTGGGGAGAAGTGCACCTGCATAAAGCAGTGTTTCTCCACCTTGGCCGCTTTAAGAGGTGTGGACTTCAACTCCCAGAATTCCCCAGCCAGCCAATTCTGGGA